CTTCCACGCGAGCGGATCGCGGGTTTAGGCTAGTACTTATATAAAAATCACAAATATGATCTAGTCAACTGGGGAACGTCCTAGCACAGCTTTCATACATCTTATGTGTGCGCTCGATGCAGCTGACCATACCCTCGATAAACATTCCGGTACAATGTAACAAACCAAATGGTGGTACAAAATACCAAGATGGTATGATTGAACAAAGTTTCAAAAAGTGATGTTACGCTTAATTTTACCTGACTAAAATCTTGTAGAATAATTAATAATTTCGAAAAATGCCACGTCAGCTACCACAAAGTGATCATTTGGATATAAAGCATTTTCTAAGATTGTACAATACTGCGGGTATGTTTCAGAATCCAACAAATCGTAACTTCTAGGGGCCCGAAACAGGCTAACTAGATGGCGTTGGACATCTTAAATTCGGTAAATATTTAACCGGTACAATATAGCCGACTTTCACTTATTAGGTCATTACTAATTCTTACCAAGAGATATGAATAAGTAAATGAAAACTATACTTAATTGTAGGAAATTCTGTAACACAATACATACAGGTGGTGTTGAGTTCGAAATAATTACAAGTGTAGAGCGAATTATTACAGTTTTACCTTGTAGTCTTCGTGTTACAGTGCCCGTCGGGTAAAGTATACCAATACGATCCCTTTTTGATTTATGCCCTAGGGGCAAAGCTCCTTTATTGCCCGCTATGTACAACTTAAACTAAACTAAACACAATATGGCGGGAACAGTCCTTATTTATTCGCTGCTACGTGACTACCAGCGTTGAAATAGTATGTTTAATTCTTATTTACCCTAAAAGCTACTCTAAATTTCCGCGGCGTGAATTTACGCCGTCACTCTTAACCTCCTCGGACCCAAGAGCCAGATAACTGGGACTTATTAGCAAAAATAGTGATTTTGGGTTCTAATGGACCTAGTAAGGCACAAACGAAGCAAATTTTTTGAAACAAAAATAGATTTTTGGTTTTATGCCAGGTATCATCTATGATACCTTGGATCTCCATCTACACAAAAAATATATTAAAGAAATGATAAGTTAAAAAAGTAAATTTATTAATTCAATGTTACAAAGCAAATTTATATCATAGAACTGCAAATTTACTTATGAAATAGTAAAAAACAATTTCTATTTACACTGCAGCATAGAAAAACATTACAAGCGGTACACCTGGTAAAAGTTAACATCTTGCATCCTGCTAAACGACATTTTGACCTGCTTTTTTGCTTATCATTCATAAATTCAGGCAAATGTAATGCGCTTTCTCGTCTAAATCCTCCTGCAGGTAGTGCTTCAACTAGCCTAGGCTTTTTAATTTCAACAGCTTCTTCATCTTCTGATGTTTCATTTTCTTTATCTTCCAAATTGTAAAGAAGTGCTTGTGCAATAGCAAATTTAAAATCCATGTAATCCATGATCTGTTTTTTCTCAAGACGTGCTAAAGAGGCATCTTCACGATATTCCAACCAAGAAGCAGCAGCAGCAAAATCAAAAAAATGATAAATGAAACGTATTGTCCATTTTTTTGTCCTTGACCTCATACAATATTTTCCGATGACCCGATCAAGTAAGTCAACTCCACCCATGAATGCGTTATATTCCTTAATAACGTTTGGCTGTGGAATCTGTATGTATTTATTGTCAGATTTTGACCACCTTTTGCATTCTCCTAGAGGCTCAGAACCACACTTAGATGACGCCATTTGCACTGGCCTAGAGTCAAACCATTTTACTAGGACCATCTTCTCGTCTTGTCTTACTAATTGATCCGATGAGCCCCTGCCTCGTTTCTTTAGAATGCTGTCCGATTCGAATTTCGCCTCTTTAGACATTAGACATTAGAGTACCAGTAACAGTCAAGGATCTTGATAACATACAATCTACCAAAGGTATAGATGTAAAAAACCTATCCGTAAAAACTGAAACTCCCTTTGGTAGTGCATCGGCCAGTTTTAAAACATATCTCCCTCCGACGTTAAGCTTTTCTGGCGTGTCTACAAGTATGGAATCTACTGAAGTACCCTTCCCTTCGTACATTAAAATATCTAAAGGTATTCCCTGTGGTGTTGTCATAACAAAAGCTTTGAGGCCTACCGGATTTGGCTTACCTCTTACGAATTGTCTCATTTCAACTTGTCCATGAAAAGGTATCATCTGTTCGTCTATTGACACATTTTCTGTTCTGATATTTGAACGACAACCTCGTTGAATTTTCTCTAGCATAGGCTTTACCTTCCAAAACCTATCTAGATCCCTTGCTTCTTTACTGACCATGTCATCATCAACAAGCTTCAGGCGCGATCTCAGAACGAAGAACCTATTCCGAGACATTTTTTCAGAAATTATGGGTACTCTAGTTTGTACACCCCAGTACATTTTAATGCGTGGTAGATTGTAGATGCCCATCAGCATAGAACATCCAAAAAACCTTTTGATCTCTGCAGAAGAAGTTCCTAAAGATTTTCCGGTAGTTTTCACTTCTCTAATATTGCTGAAATGTGCAATATTTTCAAAAAAATCGTCGTCAAGATATTTGCAAAAATATTGCATTGGTTCTTTGACGCTTCTGTTTATTTCTTCTTGAACAAACTCTCTCACTACTGATGGATAAAATTCTTCTTTATGTCTATACCTACAACGATCACTAATTCTCTTTACAATGTTTATCAAGGGTTCTTCATCGGAAGTATCGAAATTGTCATCCTGTGGTGTTACGTCAGGCTGTTGAAAAAACTCCTCCTGCTCCTCACCCGATTCGCCGATATCAATGTTATCATCTATATCCGAGTCATTCAAATCCATATTGTCTGCTAATTCCTGCAGTTCGGCAGCAGTAAGGGGCCCTAAAAATGGTATTCAATAAATACAAAATAAATAAATTTATTTTGTGTTATTAGCTTATTTTGTAACTATTAAGACTCAAGGTATCACCTACGATACCTAACCTAAAATACGCGCTGCAAATGTTATTTACATTTTATTTTAAATTCAGAACATGATAAATAATTCACTCACATATTTTTGTCATCTACAACGGAAAAATAATAATTTTAATTGATCTACTTACTTGTGTTTTCGTTAAACGCCATTCTGGTACACAAAGCACGTGCTACTGCGACATTCACTTGCTCGCTTTACAAAGCAAATAACCAGAATTCAAGTTACAGCCTGCAAACTGGACTCGCGCGAGTGTATCGTATATGATACGCTCGGAACTGATCGCGACTTAAAACTATTTGGATAAATATGCAGCAAATAACTGAGGTATCACCAGTGATACCCAGGAACCGAGGAGGTTAATACCCCTATTTACTCCCAAAATACAAAAATATTTGGGGATGTGAAGCCGGGCAACTAGGCTACCTTAAACTCTTTTTGCCGACCCACACTGTGCTACTCTAGGACCATCTACTGGTAACCTGTGGCGCTCCCAGGATTTCAGTCTGGAAGGGGTAAAATGGACAGTAAATTCTCAGTGTGACGTACTAAAGTGTTATTATGATTTAACATTAAAAGCATGGTCATATGCAGACATATGAATTTGTTACAGTAATTTCTGTAAACAATACATACATTTTTTTTTAATTTTGAGTCATACGAAATCAAAGTGTAAATAAAGTAAACTAAGCTCGAGCCATCTTCATATATTAAAACAAAAATGCAAAATAACATAATCTATCACAGACTTTTCTACATAACAATGTCAGACAAAACAACAAAAAATACATCTTCATGAAAAAGATAACAATAACAAATATGTTACGACTTCTACAAAGTATAAAACTGAATGTAAATCAAAATAAAATTCTTAATCATGAGAAAAACACAAAAAATATTCATTGCATAACTACATTCTCTTAGCCAGTCTCAAAATAAAACAATCATTACATTAGCTTAGAAAGTGATTTGAACAGAATTTGAACAGACTTTTATATCAATCTGCTGGCCAATAAATAAAACCTCATATCTTGATTGGATACTTTGGAAAAGATCACCGTTGGTGGTTTAAACGTAAGTAAACCCTTAACTACATCTGCTTTTTTATTTATTGGCCAATAGAAGGGAGATGGATTTGAGAGACAACCTTAGGCAGAGTTCAGGTGTTATCATATTACAAAATCAAGGCGCCTATTCTTTTTGCTGGCGAACCGATCTGTGATTGTATTCACGTCTATTTTAATATCCTATGCATATACAAAAGAGCTAAACTCTCTAATCGCTCTTGTAACATAGTGCGCAGCCAAGTTTTTAGATGGGAGAAACTTTCAGATGTCCCAACACTTACCGGCAATGAAATCAATAATTGTAGGCATCTATTAATTGAAGGAAAAATGTTTATATCACTTCATGATAAATAGAGTGACATTCCGCTGTCTATAATATCTCGTGTACGTGACTTCCAAAGGTCAAATTCTGCTTTTAATCTGGTACTTATTAAATTTTTGTTTTCGTTACTATTTAGTCCATGCAAATATTTATAGATTGTTTCTGTCCATTACTTCAACTTCAGTTTTTGAATTAAATACTGACGCAAAGAAAATATTAAAATTGTATATATTCAAAGATTCTTCATTGAACCGGTATACCAAATCCTGTAATACCTGTATATTATCTAACAAAGGGACATATGGGTTCAGTCTGTAATGATTTTCCTTGTCAGACGTAACTATTTTCGGTCTGTTCATTTGCCTGCTTGTTATTCTTGGCACAGTCAGTTCAATGTCCAGGGTTTCATATGATTTCATTATAGATGCAGATAGTAACTATTCTAAAGGGTTTTTTGAAATTTGCGCGTCTTTCTTGTACAACTGAAATAATATTTCCTATGAGTATGACAGCGTATGTCAATTGTTTTTGATTGTAAAATCTCACCCAGGTTGACTGTTAAAGCTGATACGAGTATATCACACAAACACTTTAGTGATACGATAAATTGGGTGGAAGTAATGGCAGTCTTTAAAGGCTCCGCTTTTGAAGAAGCTTCGCGTTCTTCCCAATTTGATATAATATTTAGTACTTCTAGAATTTTCTCAAATTTGCTTTCAAATTGGAGCACAGGATCATGTCTCTCGGTCCATCGTGTTTCGCACATACTATGGATTTGATATCCATCTAGTTTTCTTTTTTAATACTGTATTTCTTTTAGCGGATGCTTTGAAGAACGCAATTACTTGCTTCATTATACCTACAGTATTTCTTACTGCTTGGACACTGCCGCTTTTTGAAATCGAAAGATTCAAGGCATGATTTATGCATGGGCTTTTTAGAGCATTTGGAAAACATCAGTCTAAGTTATTGGTTTTAATGAAATGCGTGACTGTTTGAGCAAGAATTTGACCTGTGAGCTTGGGCTCCATTGTAACTTCATCAAAATTTGAGTAGCAATCCACAAATCCCATGAACTCCTCGTAAATATTTTTTTAATAACAATACCGCAATATTATTGACATTTATGATTTATAGCTAATGTCTGTAGTTTCGTCAAATATAATAGGTACTGTAATACTGACTTTGCCTGACGCGACTTAAAACTATATCCAAGATTTCTTCGCCACAACATTCTATGGGGTTGTCCAAAACGGACGCAATAAACGCATATTAAAACAAGAAAGATTGATATTCAAATCAAGTTGGGTACTTTATTTTGAAGGTTCATTTATACCATTTATGTATGAAAAATAATATCGCTCAAATGTTCACCACGACTGGATTTACAGACGTCCACGCGATGGTCGGAATTTTCAATGGCATTTTGCAACATGGTCGGTTCTATGGCATTTATCTCGGTAATGATGTTGTTTTTGAGTTCTTGGAGGGTCGCTGGTTTGTTGACGTAGACTTTGCTTTTCAAATATCCCCATAAAAAGAAGTCCAAGGGAGTCAAATCGCACGATCTTGGTGGCCATGGCACATTTCATCTGCGCGAAATCACGCGATCACCGAAAATCGATGGATATTGACGTTGGTTGTGTGGCATGTTGCACCGTCTTGTTGGAAATAAACATCGTCCATATCCATTCCTTCAAGTTGCGGCAAAAAATAGTCCTCTATCATCACGTGATATCGCTCAGAATTAACGGTAACGGCGTCCCCGGCCGCATTTTCGAAAAAGTAAGGTCCGATGATGCCTTTTGACCACAATGCACACCACACAGTCACTTTTTGAGGATGCATCGGCTGCTCTTGATACTCACGGGGATTTTCGTTCGCCCAGATGCGGCAGTTTTGCTTGTTTACCGTCCTATTCATAGTGAAATGCGCTTCGTTGCTGAACATGATTTTTGATGAAAAATTGGCATCAATTTGGCGGTGTTCAAGTAGCCAATCTGAATACGTTCGGCGCGAAAAATGGTCGGCCCGACGCAGCTCTTGCGTCAATTGGATCTTGTAGGCGTGTACATTCAAATCCTTATGGAGAATGCGGAGCAAACTGGTTATCGAAATTCCCAATTCTTGGGATCGACGCGTTCTTGATTGTTTCGGATCGTCTCTCACACTCTCCTTCACAACAGCAATATTTTCCGGTGTGCGAACGCTCCTTGACCGGCCAGAGCCTTCCAGATTTGCTACAGAACCTGTTGCCTCGAATTTACGCACCAGACGACCGATGGTTGTTTCGTTTGGGCGGTTGTTGCGACCGAAATGTTCACGAAGCCCGCGAAACGTGTTTTTATTTTTGCACCATTTTTGTAGTGCTGGTAAACATTCAACTAACAAAATGACATGTCGGTGACAGAAAACAAAGATGGCGTCTATGTCAAATTGACGTTAACTTTCTTGCGTCCCTATTGGACAACCAATAATTCACAATTATGTTCTGCTGATATCTTTAGGGAAAGCAGAGGTAAGCCACTAAAGCGTCTACATATCGTATATCCCAAAAATTTTTAACAAACACAAAGTAATATCAATTTCCCTTTGGGAATAAAAGCTTGTTTACTTACTTAACTGTCAGATGACATTTATTTATTTTGAAGTTTTCGCGTTAAGATGTATAAATTAGAAATAAGAAAAAGTATCTACAACTAGGTTGGGCGGGTACCCAAAGCTGAAATGTGTCGAATATTGCAGAGTGAAAACATTTCACGTAGAACCATTTATCGAACAATACCGGCGTGCGAGCAGGGAATACTATGTCTGAATCTCCGAAACAGTGGAAAACCACGTGCATTTACTGAGATTGGTCAGAAGACCAAAAAATCACGTTGACTGGCTCGTCAATACAGATCTTCTAAGAGTACAATATCGTTGGAACTGAGGGGGAATGATCTTGAATATCGAAAGACACTTGAGTGCCCCAAATACTCTTCAGCTCCATCGTATACGAACATGCTGTCGTCAGCTGAGGCGGGTACACTTTGCCAATACAAAAATCATTACTTTAGATGACGAAAGGTAATTTACTTTGAGCAATTCTGAACTGAATGGAAACGACGGATTTTATACGGACAACGTAAAGGAATGCCCTGACCATGTTAGATACAAACTTAAATTTTATGGGAATAGTGAGTGGTGGAGCTTTGAATAGTCAGAGCAAGCTTTGATAACTCCGTTCCAAATTGCTTCAGCTTATCCATGAACATCATGCTAATGACCATTTCATGTTTTCGCCAGACCTAGCATCATGCCTTTGCTCAATAGATTCCCAAAACTGTCTTCGACAACACAACATACCTTTTGTTCCAAGTTCCTGCATCCTGCAGCAGTCATGCAAGGACTCTTCTTCTATATCTATATTTTGGTGAATCACGATGATTGTTGTCATATTTATCCGGAATACTCTACAAAATGTCTGTCATAAGGTCTCAGTTAAATTAATCACTGATTCACTGATTATTATTACCATACAAGGATCCCTCTTCCGGTAAACTTTTTGGAATAAATAACTTTTCCACAAATCCAAGCTGTTAATAAGGCATTAATTTCAGCACAGCCATGAATAAGCCTTGGTGTGCTTCCATATAACAACACCGACTCTGCAATTTATGCATAAAATTTCAATTTATCGCGAAAAGTTTTCAGACACTTTTTAATTCTCCTTCAGGCAAGCCATATTTTAAATCTACCACCGTTGCTTCACAATTCGTTATATTTAAAGGAATTGAGTTAGGAGTTTTTAGGGCGTTATACCATCACGCAGCGACAGATAAATTCATTACTCTCGCCTAATTTGAATCCGGTGAGAAGTTGTGGCTATATTTTTCCTTGCGATACCCAAAAAGGTGCTCGAGGTATCAGCAAGCACATTGACCTCATTTTTTATGAACTTTATTTTATATTCCTAGAAATGTGTTAAATAAATAGATATAAAACAAGTTGGTCTACATAATCATGCATCTGATAGATAATTTATTTTCTACAACTAATCAAGACGCGTAACAGGTTTATTTCCTACGTTACTGGCCAAAGTATTACAATCGCGGAAAATTTCGAAAATGATATATCAAGTTTCTTGGATGTCATAAGAAAGGTACATCAAAGAGTTTTGTAGTTTTTCAAAATCGATTTAGTGGCGGCGGCGAAGAAAGCTGAAGATAAAAATATAGTTAAAAAAATGTATTCGGTCAGGAAGCTACGATGCAAACCAAGCGTATTCAGTAATTTTTTAAAACATTGATGCTGATAACTACTATTGGTCATATTCCACACATCATATGTTTTCTATCGTTCTGATATCTGGGCTCAGCGTCTAGTGTAACGGTCTGCTTGATTGGTCTATTCTTGCAGTGGCGGCACTTCGGTGGGCGCTGCTGCGTCTGACGATATGGGAAAGGACAACGTTAGAGAGCTCAACTTGTGCTGAACTTAATCCATTATGAATTGATGACGGAGATGCGTTGATAGTGCTGAGTTAACCTACTTGTTGCCATTTTACGATTACCTAATACTAATAATTTTGCTACTTTGTTGGAGTATATGAAGTATAATAGCCAGGTGCATCAAAAACGAAAATTTCAATATTCCTGCGAAACGTGTTTTTAACACGATACAGTTCTGGCTGTCATTCTAGCAGTGGCTCTTGTGTCAGTCTAAATATGAACCATTTTTGCAAATGAATTGACCAAAGACAAGCAAATTGCATATGTACCTACATATCCTGTGTTGAAATCCCATTTACTCTACGATTAAACAAACAAAAGCGCGGGTCCAAAATCCCGCGCTTCTTTTGGTTAGCGCTGGAAGAATGGCTGGTCAAGCAGCGAATAGAGATGTCAACCAAGTGTTCACGTTTGTTTTGACACGGAGAAGATGAGGTCTGAATAATCTTTTCAGAAATATAAGGAAAATTCACAAACAAAACTAATGATTTCGATTGACTTCATGCTATAAACCTTTCATACTGTATTTTCACATACCGCTTGGTGTCATTGGGGGGCAATTTTACTTAAAGTACACCATCAGTCATGCGAAGAATATCCGTCGAAAAACATTCTGTGTTAGAACTATAGTCAACGCCAAACAAAGTGGCGTGCACGTCATCAAGGTGGGTGTGTTGAAAAATTTACATTGTTGCCAAACTTTTTGTAAAATAATAAAATTTATTATTTACATATTTAGGTTTATAAGCAATATTAACCTCAAATGAGAACAAAAATAATAGTATAATAAAATTATAGATCTGTAATTGCATAATCATTAAGTATGACAATTATTGATCAGATGACACTATGAAACTACCATATTTAATTGATAGCTTAAAGGTACTGAATAAAAATCCAAATGGGGTCCTCCAAATTTTATGCATGGTATTTATTTTACAGAATTCATACAGAAAAATGCATTCTAAAATTAGGTAAGCTACTGGTGTAAGCTTTTTCTGTACAATAAAGTTAGTCGGAGTTTCTTTCTTCAGCGCTGTCTGAATCTGAATCTTCATCACTCTCAAAGTTGATTATTAAAGGTTCGATGTCTGGTCGATCAAAAATTCGTTCTCTTTCATACCATTTAAAAATTTCTTGCTCAGTATGTCGAACACTATTTTTCCACATGTCTGGGGTAACCGTTTGTAGAGCCTCGTTCCACATATCCAAACAGTCTTTTTCACTGTTACCATCTCTACCAATATGTCTGTTATAGTAACCTTTTGCTATGCCCCAAATTAACTCAATAGGGTTAAATATACAATGGTAAGGAGGCAGACGAAGAACTTTGTGCCCATGTTGTTCCGCCAATTCATCAATCACGTATATTTTAGGTGGTTTGTTTCTAAAAAAGCAGTTATTTTAAGAATAGGAATAAACAAAAGAAATATGAACTGTCGACCAAAATATATATAATTAA